GTATGTGAACTGCTGTATGGAAAGTGAATTTGCTCTGTAAATTTTCACCCAAATCACAATTAAAAAAAAAAAAAAGTTCTGTTTCTTGATGAAATGTCTACTTACCTATGCAATTGAGATGAAAATAAATTTTAAAAATTGCTAATATGCAGAAACAAATGTTAAAAAGACAAATTTTCTTACCATTCTAAGTGCAAATTGGGGTTTACAGCTACATAAATTAAAAATGCTCCAAAAATCAGCAAATAGGTGCCGTAATAGATTGCATTCTCAATCAGTGCAGTTTTGATCTTCCCAGTGATGGAAAAACCTCCTGACCTTGCATATGACTGCATAAAGGGTAACAGAATCCTACAGAGTTGAAAAGAAAATGATTAAAAATTAAACGATTAAAAATTAAACAACTGATGTCTGTATAATCTCAAATACATCTTAAGTACATGAATCTCAATTTTAATGCATAGTTCTCTTCACTAATAAATATGAATATGAATAATTTATTAATACTGGATAAACTATACTAGATGAATGAATTGTCTATAATATTAAATTCTGGGAAGAACAAAGGAGGTCACAATAACAAATGGCAGTATGAATAAGTTACCATGAAGAGTTTGTACACATCCAAAGAACAATGTGGAACCATTCTCTTTAACAGAAAGGAGATATGATCAAATTTTAGTTTTCTAAAAAGACTGATAAAACTGTAGCCCAGAGAATGGCTTGATGGAGAAAAAATTGGGAGTGAGTTGGAGGGGATGCGAGTGTGGTGGTAAGAGGCAGGAGGGGAGAAGATCAGTTGTCAACGAATTCATTTTGAAGTGGCTAGTAGACATCCAGGAAGAACTGTGAAGGAAGTAGTTGGAGACCCTGGTTTAGAACTGAGCAGAGAGGATTAGAAATATGGATAGACTGTAGGGTCATCACCATTTCAGTGGTACTGAAACCACATCAATAGCTGAGATCTCTGAGATCTCCTAAGACTAATATTTAAAGTGAAAAGGAAAAAACTGAGAAATAATAACTTTTTAAGGAAGAGCTTAAGGATAGGAAGAAAAGGAAGAACCAGCAACAGACACTAAGAACAGCAAAGAGGAAAGGAATAAAACCAAGGAGCTTATGAAGTAGAAAGTAGAAGAGGAAAAATATTTGAAAGTGGACAGAAAACAATACAATCAACTGTACCAAGGGATCAAGTAAATTAAAGATTTGTGTGAGCAGAGGGGTGGAGTTAGAAAATAGGGTTGATGGGTTGAGGAGTGTGATAGTTGTGTGTCAATTTGGCTGGGCCTGGTTTTGAGTGAATGAGCTATGGTGGTTAGCGCCTAAGGTATATGACTGCTAACCAGAAGGTTGGCAGTTCAAACCCACCAGCCTCTCTGCGGAAGGAAGACTGGGCAATCTTCTTCCGTAAAGATTTACCACCTTGGAAACCTAAAGGAGGTTGCGATGAGTTGGAATCGACTCAATGGCAGTGAGTTTGGTTTGGTTTTGGTTTTGAGTGGCTGTGCCACTGAATGTAGTTATTGTCATCATGACACTGATAATCAACTCCATGGTGGAATCTACTGGAGCAGCTGAGTAGCTGCCTTAGGGATGTGGCCTGCTTCCACTATATAAGCAGCAGCACTGAGAAAGTTCTCTGAGCTTTCTGGCACGCTTGGACCCTACATGTAGCTGAGTTTTCATTCAGAACTCTGCCATGCTGCCTGCTGATCCTGGGACTGTACCTGGACTTGAACTAGTGGCCTGCTGAGACTGTGCCATTTTACTTGTCGACCTTGAATTTGTCAGCTTCAGCTGCCAGCAGCTGCCTGAGTTAAGAGAAGTCAGGAACAAAAGGCAAAGCTAAAACCCAGGGTCAAGAAGCTGTCACCTAGCCCCTAGAGCTGACACTCTGAACTTGGACTTCTAGCCTCCTAAACTGTAAGAGAATAAATCCCTGCTTGTTAAAGCCACCCATTTGTGGTATTTTCTGTTACAGCAGCACTAGAGAATCAAAAAAATGAGTAAGTAAGCAACTCACAAATGAAGACACCAAATGTAGACCATTCAGGAAAATGTTTGACTGGGTAGGATAAATGTGGCATATTCATAAAATGGAATATTTTACAGAAAAGAAAAAACATCCAGCTACATACAACACTCACTCACTGCCGTTGAGTCAGATCCGACTCATAGCGATCCCTCCTTGGGTTTCTGAGGCAGTATCACTATGGAAGTAGATTGCCCCATCTTCCTTCTGAGGAGTGGCTGGTGGGTTTGAACTGCCAGTGTTCTGGTTAGCAGTCAAATGCCTTAAGCACTATGCCACCAGAGTTCCCACATACAACACTATACAGATCAATTTCCCAAACAAAATGTGAACAAAAAAGCCAGATGAGAAAAAGTACATGTTGTGTAATTCCATTTTCATAAAATTCAAAAACAGGCAAAAGAAATCTATGGTTATGGAAGTCAGAATAATGGTTACTTTTGCAGGGAGGCAATGACTAACAGGGGGCCTCAGGGAGGCTTCAGAGGCATTGGTGACGGTCTATAGCTTCATTAGAGTGGTTGTTATATGAATATGTTCACTTTGAAAAAGTCAAACTACACTTACAAATCTGTTCACTTTCCTCTATGAATTTATACTTCAATTTAAAAATATTCCATAAAAAGAAATTTGGTTATGATCAGTAGTCTGTCTAATGAGCTGGAGATGTATATGATTTTACAGACTTTTTGTTGCTTTTTCTTCCTCTTTTTTTAGGATGAGAAAATTATGCATGCTTAATTGAAATTGGAATATGTAACTAGGTAACAAGAGCTTATAGGGATAGATAGATATTTCAGGAAGTGGGATTAGCTGTAACAGGAGTGATTCTACTGTTATGGAAGGAAAGGATGAGTAGATAGTTAAGTTAGTTAGTGGGAAGCAGAAAGAAGAGTTGCCATCTGATGACTTATATTTTCACTGTCAGGTAGGAAGCAAAGTCACCTGCTAAGAGTGAAGGCGATTGTTTTTAGGGAGTAGGAGGGAATGCTGTAAAGGGAATGGCAGAGTTTCGGAGTTACTGGAAATACTTGTTTTGGAAAACGGGAGCATAAGCAAATTACACAAAGGAGGAAAGCCTGGCAATGTTAAGGGCTCAGCTGGGTTTAACGAGCATTTGCAGGCCATTACTCTACTTTCTTGTATGCTTTTTCTCTTGCAGTGTTCACTACCTCCAGCTTTAGAGCTTAGTCATTTTCAGAATAAGTAAGGGATGCTCAGTAGGCAGTGGATAAAGTCTGGAGCTCAGCAGAAAGATAAAACTACAGTGCACAATGGAAGATGCAGAAACCATCACTGGTTAATGAAACCACAAATATAATTAAAGCTATGCAGGGATAGTCAGGTAACAAGATAACCAAAGAGGAGACCACACGGAACACCAACATTTAGAAAACGGACAACAGAAATGGAGCCCGTGAAAGAAATTTAGAAAATTGGGCTAAGTAGGTAGAAAGACTATCAGGGAATAATGATGACTTTAGCAAAAGGGGTTTCATAAAATAATAGGGCTGCAAAAAAGACTGGATTGAAGAAGGGAGAGAAAAAAGCCAATAACTGGAGGGAAACAATGACAAGAAAAAATTTTTGTTTCTCGATTTTTTGTTTTTTTGTTTGCTGTTTATCACTTTCATTTTTGTTTTTCCAAGATGGGAGAGCAGCAGGAAAAAGAGGATATAGATTTAAGAGCAATAAAAAGTGCTACTTGAATAAATTTGAAAATATGACATTTTACTGAAAAATAACTCAAGATTTTTATCTTAGCCATAATTTTGAAATTTTATCTTTCACTGACACTTACCATGTCAAAAATTGTGATGTCCAATACACTACCCTCCAGAAAACTGGCATGATTCCATCAGGAATGTAACTCCATGGCTTGAAACATGGATGTTGACTGTTTAATAACAATTTAAATCCAATTAACCATAAATGATGACTCCTTAAATGAGTTTCTACATAGCAAAGTTCATTTTGCATTACATGTAAATTATTGGCTTGAAATTAGATTGTAATATTTACTAGAAAACTTAAAATTCACAGATGAGTGTCAAACTATAAAAGAAAAGCACACAAGAGCAATAAAACTGTTTTAGAGAGAAAGGTCATTTAATGTTTCAAATTTCAGTGCACTTTTAGTCACTGAGTAGAAAGACGACACAATGTTCAGAATATTAAATCTGAAAACAAATGCATCATAAAATCAGACCTCTAATACTTACCTTTAAGATATACACTAACAGTTTCTGGGTGGTGCAAACAGCTAAGCGTTCAACTACTTGCCATGTTCACTACCTCCACTTTTAGAGCTGAGTCACCTGCAGAATAACTAAGAGATGCTCAGCAGGCAGTGTATAAAGTATAAGCCTGGCGCTCAGCAGATAGACAAAGCTAGACAGAGTAGGAAGAAAAATAAGGTGGTGGTTCGAACCTACCCAGAGGTGCCTCAGAAGATAGGCCTGGCAATCTACTTCCAAAAGGTCACATCCTATGGAGAAGTTCTACTCTGCACAGATGGGGTCACCATGAGTCAGAACTGAGTCAATGGCAACTAACAATCAATAACACCCCTTAATCTCTCAATAAATATACACTCATTCCATTCATTGGGTTGTTTTTTTCTTTTTTTTTTTAAGAAGAGGAGAGGAAAATTCAGGTGATTAATTTCTGGAAACTGGAATGTTAACTAAATGAGTCACTATGGTGTAGCTCTTATTAAGACGCATGCCAGCATCTGTATATATTTCTGTTTGAATTTTTTTAAGATACAGTTAATCTCTGACCATGTATTTTCTTTCATACGATGGTTGGTTACTCTTCTTAGACTACAAAGATAACTTTAATGTCCAAGGAGTTCCAACAATCCATATTTTTTAGTAATCTAGATCTAATTTTTGATCGTTTTGAAAAGAATTAAAATTTATATTTTAAAATTCACTTAAGTATAGTAGAGTTTTTTTTTTTTTTTTAAATAGAAGCTGCATAAGGAAGCATGCAAATACAAATAACCTAAAGCATCAATAAAAGCTATAGTCAAATACACATTTTTTTTTTCCACTTGGATGTTTGATATGGATTGAATTTACTCTCTTGACAATTTGAAAGCACAGTGGCTAAAGCACTTGACTGCTAGCCGGAAGGCTGGCGGTTCAAACCCACCAGCCACTCCTTAGAAGGAAGATTGGGCAATCTACTTTCATAGTGATACTGCCTCAGAAACCCAAGGAAGGGTCACTATGAGTCAGGTCCGACTCGACAGCACATAACAACAACAACAACAAATTCATTCTCTATCTAAAATCATACTGATTTCAAAGCAACACCCTACATACAAAATACCCTCCTCACCCTTTATAACACCTTATAAATGAGGCAAAACAGCAAATGCATGCCCCATTTTTTAGATCAGGAGACCGAAGCAGAGAGAAAAAAAATAGCTTCCTGAAATCACATATTTGGTAAGAGGAAGAACGAGGACTAAAATCAGCAGTTTTCCTAGTTTCTCTTGCATCTACCAAAAGGCTTCATGAACCACAAAACACCTGAAATTTATTTTAAATGTTTTGTTTTAATCCTAAAATAAATAAGGGAAAATAAAATTTATTTTAGGATTAAAATATAATTAAAAGTTCACAAGTATATAAACTTCCCAAAAAAACAGAAAGGAAATAAACACTTCCTAACTCATTCTGTGAGGCCAACATTAACCTGATACCAAAGACAGACACTAGAAAACAACACAAGAAACTAATATCCCTGACAAACAGAGATGTAAAAATCCTTAACAAAATACTAACAAACTGATGGTTTTTATACAGCATATAAAAAGGATTATACACCATTATCAGTGGGATTTATCCCAAATCAAAAGGTGGTTCAACATTAGGAAATCAGTGTAATAAACCACATTAAGAGAAAAGGACAAGAATAACATGGTCATCTTAATCAACACAGAAAAGGCGTTTGACGAAACTCCAACACCTTTCACGATAAAAAACACTTAAACTAGGAACAGGAGGGAAATTCCTCAATGTGATAAATGGCGTTTATGAAAAACTCACAGGTAACATACTCAATGAAGAAAGACTAAGAATGTCCCCTTAAGATCAGGAACTGCTACTTAATATTGTACTGGAAGTCCTAGCCTGAGCAATGATTCAAGAGGAAGAAATGAAAGGTATCCAAGTAGGGAAAACAGTATAACTATCCCTTTTTGCAGATGACATGATCCTATATATAGAAAACCCCAAAGAATCCACAAGAAACTTACTAAGGCTAATAAATGAATTCAGCAAAGTGACAGAGTACAAGGTCAGCACACAAAAATCAGTTGGGTTGCTATACACCAGCAATAAGTATTCTGAATAGCATCTTGATAAAAGAGTAAAATATACAGGAATAAATACAGCTAGGGAAGTAATAGACTTGTACACTGAAAACTTAAAACATTACTGAGGGAAATTAAAGACCTAAATAAGTGGAAGGACATTTTGTGTTCATGGACTGGAATATACTACTACCCAAAGGAATCTATAGGCTCAGCACAATCCCTATAAAAATTCTAACAGCCTTCTTTGTAGAGTAGAAAAGCTAATCTTCAAATTTATATGGAACTACAATGGACTCTAAATAGCCAAAGCAATCTTGAAAAAGAACAAAGTAGGGCTCATACTTCCTGATTTTAAAAGGTACTATTATAAAGCTATAGTAATAAAAACAGCCTGGTATTAGTATAATGACAGATATACCGATCAATGGAATAGAACTGAGAGTCTAGAAATAAATCCATACACATATGGTCAACCAATTGTCAACAAAGATGCCAAGTCCACTTAATGGGGCAAAGGATAGTCTTTTCAATAAACGGTGCTGGAAGAACTGATTCATGAGCAAGAATGACGCTGGACCCATAACTCAAACCTTTAAAAAAAAAACCTCACTGCCATCAAGTTGGACGTCAAGAGGACTCACAGCGACCCCTCCTTGGGTTTCTCAGTTGGTATCTCTCAGAAGTACCAACAGCATATAAAAAGGATTACACACACTTGGGAAACAACCCAAGTGTCCAGTCTTCCTTCTGAGGAGTGGCTGCTGGGTTTGAACTGCCAGCCTTCTGGTTAGCAGTCAAATGCCTTAAGCACTATGACAAACCTTTGTAAAAATTAACTCAAGATGGGTCAGTGACCCAAATGTAAGAAACGAATCTTAAAACTCTTAGAACAAAACAGAGCATTAATGCTTTGGTACCTAGTTTTCAACAGTGGATTCTTAGATATGACACCAAAAGTATGTGCAACAAAAGTATGTGCAACATAACAGGAGAAAGTATTTGGGAACCACTAAGCTAGTAAGGGTCTAACATGTAGAATATCTAAAGAATTTCTACAACTTAACAACAAAAAGACAAGCAGCCCAATTAAAAAATGGGCAAAGGACTCAAATAGATATTTCTCCAAAGATATACATATGGCCAACAAGCACATGAAAAGATGCTCTATGTCATTAGTCATTACAGAAAAGTGAACAAAATCACAATGAGATATGACTACATCCCACAAGGATAGCTATTATCAGAAAAAGAAAAAATAAGAAATGTTGGAGGAGATATGGAAAAACTGGAACCCTCACCCTTTGCTAGTGAATTGTATAAAGATGCAGCTGTTGCGGAATACAGTTTGGTGGTTCCTCAAAAAATTAAACACAGAATTATCATAAACCAAAAAAAAAAAAAAAAACCAAACCACTGCCACTGAGTCAATTCTGACTCATAGTGACCCTACGGCACAGGGCAGAACTGCCCCAAAGGGTTTCCAAGGCTGTAAATCTTTATGGAAGTAGATTGTCTCATCTTTCTCCTGCAGAGCAGCTGGTAAGCTCAAACCACCAACCAATTTAGTTAGCAGCTGAAAGCCTTAACCACTCTGCCAACAGAGCTCCTTAGAATTACCATATGACCCAGCAATTCTACTAAATATATACTCAAAAGAACTGAAAGCAGAGACTGAGATATTTGTACATCAATATTTACTGCTGCATTATTCACAACAGCCAAAAGGTGGAAACAACCCAAATGTCCTTAAACAGACAAATGAATAAATAAGGTATACCTGTATAACAGAATATTATGGAGCCTTAAAAAGTAATGAAGTTCTGATATATGGTCTGACATGGATGAACCTTGAAAACATCATGCTAGGTGAAATAAGTCAGACACAAAGGGGCAAATACAGTATGATCCCACTTATAAGAAATACCTAGAATAGGTAAACGCATACAGGCAAACGTTTATTAGTTGGTGTGAAGGGTAGATGGGGGAATGAGGAGTTATTGCTTAAAAGATTTTGAATTTCTGTTAAGGATAACAGAAAAATTTGGAAAAGGGTAGTGGTGATGGTTGTACACATAAAAAAGGCTGAAATGGCAAATGTTTTGTTATATGCATATTTTTCCACACACTTACAAAAAAAAGTCTATAAGCAAAGGATGGAGGCTGAGGGGCTTCTAAAAATATAAAATCTGGATGATGAAAGGAGGCGATTTTAAACAATTTTTCCCCAAAATATTTATACCAAAAAGTAAAGAAAGAAATACCTTGGAACTGGGGTAGCAGTTGCATATGATCCTGTAATGTTATTATTCTCAGGAGGGCTTGAGTTTGCAGCAGCATGCTTGCACCGGTTGTATATTGTCTAAAGCAATGAATGCATGGTTTAAAAATGAGAATCAAAGCACTTAAGAAATATTGTAGTTTATCAACTTATCTACCCAAACTTACCTTCCTGGCTATCCTTTCTAATGGTCAAATTCGTAAAATAACATTTGAATTCAAAACATTGGAGTAACGTTTATAATTTAGCTGCCTTAAAAACGAACATACCTCAAACACGCAGTGTGATTACAATTACCTTTTAAACTGTGAAAATCACTTTCACATCTTACCGTACTAACATCCAGAGGCAATATGAAGATGATAAGAAAGCAAAGATACCAAGCAAGTAGTGTTCCAACAATTACAAGTCTATGCTGTTTCTTAAAATCTCCGTATCGATGAAGTAGGAACAATGCCAGAAAAAAGACAAAAACGATCTCGAGTCCCAAAGCTGCACCACTCATTATTGAATGTTCACTCTGACGAACCAAAGAAATTCACATACAGGTCTGGATCATATCTGTAAACTGAAAGGGAAAAAAAAAAAATGCAGCATTAACACAAGAAATGTTCATTGGGTAATTTACTAAATAGTTACTTAATATTGTTGTTGTTATGTGCTGTCAAGCCGCCCCGACTCACAGTGACCCCTCCTTGGGTTTCCAAGGCGGTATCACTACAGAAGTAGTGCCCAACCCTCCTTCTGAGGAGTGGCTGGTGGGTTTGATCCGCCAGCCTTCTGGTTAGCAGTCAAGTGCCTTAGGCACTATGCTACCAGAGCTCCTAGTTATTTATAAATGTGTTAATATACTCTTTCAAAAACTGCCATGCTTCAATTTGAATTACAGATAAGATAAAAAGGATCATTCCTTTCCTCAAAAATATGTATCTTCTTTTTAAAGTAAATCTTTTAAAATTCCACATAAATTATACCTTCAGGAACCCCAACCCAAAACCCACTGCTGTCAGGTTGATTCCAACTCATAGTGATCCGATCCAGCAAGACAGAGCAGAACTATCCCATAGGGTTTCCAAGGCTGTTTTACAGAACAAACTACCACATCTTTTTCCTGAGGAGTGCCTAATGGGTTTGCCCCACCAGCCTTCTGGTTAGCCGTTGAGTGTTTAAGAAATGTGCCATCACAGTTATCTTTCAGGAAAAAAGTACAAAAAATATACTAACTTTTAAACTATTACAAATTAAGAAATTCCTAATACTAGCTGTGAATGATTTCAATACAGTCTCATTTGGAATGTGTTCCTTAATGTTGTTAAGGCAAAGAATATTTTACACAAATACATTACTGTGACTCAAAAAAAGCCAAACTAGTTGCCCTTAAGTGGATTCTAACTCATGCCTAGAAAATTAACTGTTTAGTAAAATAAAGTTTTCTAAGTCCATCCACAGCCATTAACTTAAACATTTTCTAAGAGGGCGAGATAGAAAGATACAAACACACTCGAAAATAACTTTTCATTTGTCTGAAATATGTTTTTCTTTCACATTAATTATCTTGTCTAATAACTCAACTTTCAGGCGTTGAAATTCTTATTCATTTACTGCTTTACAAAAATATACTTACCACTTTCTATTTATGTATTGTATGTAAATCTTAATTTTTTCTGAAGTTATTTTATATGCAGAAAAATGTATCAGTGATTACTGAAAAAAGGTCATGGTGTTGTTGTTATATGCCATCGAGTCAGACCTGACTCATAGTGACCCCTTCTTGGGTTTCCAAGGCAGTATCACTACAGAAGTAGATTGCCCAACCTTTCTTCCGAGGAGTGGCTGGTGGGTTTGAACCACCAGTCTTCTGGTTAGCAGTCAAGTGCCTTAGGCACTACGCTACCGGAGATCATACATTTGAAAACATTTATAATTATAAATGCTGATAATACAGAGATCAGAAAATAGCTTATCTACTCATAATTTACCTTTACAAACTGAAGGCAATAGGAACTTTTCAGTTTTATAAAAATCACTGTTAAGCAATAATGTTTGTCTGTGAACTATAATTTTTCCATGGAATTTATTAATATCTTAATGGAGAGAATTAAGTGGTGATACAACCTATGAAAATAAGGCAGAATCAATAAAGCACTTCAAATCAACAAATATCTCCAACAAAAATTAATTATCAAAAGATAAAGCTGAAAACTTTAAAGGTTCAGTTTAAATTTATATAGGAAATACTGCTACATGGAAAGTCACAAACAAAAATCATATTTAATTGACTATTTTCTTGACAATTTTATGTTGCTGAAGCAGTTTCTTTTGATTCCTCTATGCATTTCAACCATTAATATTTTCAGTTTTCTTAAATATCTAAAATTGAACTCCCTCTATCACCATCTCCTTATTCTGCTCTACTTTTCTTCAAAGTGCTTATTCCATCTGTTGCATATTCTTTCTGTTCATTGTTTCCCTGCACACTCCTCCCCAAAGACTCCATGGGAGCAGGAATTAGACTACTATATCAAGGTATATCACAAGTCCCTAATACACCATCTAGGAGCTGGTAGTGCAGTGTTTAAAGCATTTGACTGCTAATCTAAAGGTTGGTGTTTCGAACTCACCAGCAGGTCCGAGAGAGAAACATGAGACAGCACACTTTCGGAAAGATGTATAGGCTTAGAAACTCTATGGCATAGTTCTATTCTGTCCTAAAGGGTAACTATGAGTCAAAATCAACTCAATGGCAGTGGGTGTGTTTTGGGGCTAAATACAATGTCTAGTATATCAAAAACAAAAAACCAAACTCACTGCCATCAAGTCGTTTCTGACTCATAGTGACCCCTTCTTGAGTTTCCAAGGCGGTATCTCTACAGAAGTAGATTGCCCAGTCTTCCTTCCGAGGAGTGGTTCGTGGATTTGAACCACTAGCCTTCTGGTTAGCAGTCACATGCCTTAGGCACTACATCGCCAGGGCTCCTTAATGTCTAGTATGGAATAGTCTATAAATATCTAATACATGAGTAACCAAAAAGCTCACTGTGGACTAGTTGGATCCGACTCATAGCGACCCCTCCTTGGGTTTCCAAGGCAGTAGTATCTCTATGGACGTAGATTGCCCAGTCTTCCTTCTGAGGAGTAGCTGGTGGGTTTGAACTGCCAGCCTTCTGGTTTGCAGTCAAATTCCTTAGGCACTATGCCACCAGAGCTCCCATGATTAAGTGCATGAGTAAGTAAATAAAAAAAAAAAAAATTACTGTGTATTAGTACATAAGCTATTTTTATGCTGCTGTTGTTAGGTGCCATCAAGTTATCTCTGACTCATAGCCAACCTATGTACAGCAGAATGAAACACTGCCCGGTCCTGTGGCAGCTCCATGTCTCCTGCTATACCTGAGCCCATCATTGTAGCCACTGTGTCAATCCATCTTGTTGAAGACCTTCCCCTCTTTCACTGACCTTCCACTTTACCTAGCATGATATCCTTTTCCAGGGAATTGTCTCTTTTTAACATGACCATTGTAGGCAAGACAAAGTCTGGCCATTCTTGATTCCAA